TCCGAATGCCGGAAAAGGATCAAACGGACAGACAGACAGACGGACAGTATTCTTTTATTATATAGACTAGGGTGTTTACCCGTCGTTCCGACGGACATGGTTTTATGCTAATAATACATATATAGGGGGTGTTTCCGTCGTTTCGACCGATAGGTGCACAAATTTGACGCTGATCGTATATTGACTTAGGTAATTGATTAGTTCTAAAGGTAATGTGTATGAAGGTCAATGTATACCTGTCGTTTCGAAAGTTAGGGTGTTCACCCGACGTTTCGACGAACATGGTCTGCCTTTTGACCTGTAAACCCATTAATTTACGTTCGATAATTCGATTGACTTAGGGTAAAGATGGATACGAAAATCAATGTGTACTCGACGTTTCGTCAATTTATCATTTCATCACCCGTCGTTCTAACGGTACGAAGTTGCATATATACGCATCTTTAACGCAGCGATTGGCTAGGGTGTTTACCCGTCATTTCCGCGAATTTAGTACGCGAAGTCTACAAAAATAATTTCTCTATTGAGTTTATATCACGTCGTTTCGATGGAACGCTGCGCGAAGTCGACGCTGCTAGGGTGTGTGCCTGTCGATTCGACGGAAAGGACAGCGAACTCTACGCTAATAGCATATTGTATTATTTAGGGTGTTCACCCGTTGTACCGACGGTGCAAAGTAGTATGTATATCGCAACAAATTGCTAGGGTATTTACCCGTCGTTCCGACGGATACCCCTACAGTAGATGTATACTGGTCAATCACTCTGCTAATATCAGGTAAATTAATAGTTATCAAAGTCAATGTGTATTTAGGCCAATGTAAACCCGTCGTTCCACCGGATACACATTAGCGAATTTCTGTAACGCGTTAATATACAGTCATTTGCTTGTAGATAATTCCTGCACGCTAGTAAATCGATGGACGATTGCATCATGTTTCATCGACCCACCTCTTTTATGGTGTTCACCCGTCGTTCTGATGGTGCAAAGTAGAATATATTGGCATGTTAAACGCCCCGATTTGCTAGGATGTATACCCGTCATTCAGACGGATATAGTGCGCAAGTCGACGCTGGTAATATACTGACCTTTATATCATCGTTTTACCAATTTGGTTGACTACATTAAAATGATGATATAAAGGTCAATGTGTACTCGTCGTTCCAACGGACATGGTGACTAAAGTTTGCCTTTTGACCTTCGAATCCAACATTTTACCTTACAATGTTAAGGTAAAGTAATGGGTATGAGATTCAATGTGCACTCGTCGTTCCGGCGGATAGTAGCGTGCCGACCGAATAGACAGATGTAATTATGTATACAGGACCGTATGTAATTTATTCTATGTGTGTCAATCAATTTTTAATACACCTTTTTGCCTGTGTGCAGCTTTATGATAGTGCCCGTTGTTCCGACGGATAGGTGCGCGAATCTACGCTAATAGAACCCTGGCCCACCATATATCTTAAAAATAGGGATGGTCACTCGTCGTTCCGACGGACATGGTGAGCCAACATCTGCTAAATAATCTTCGTACCCACTTATTATTCTGGTTGAGTCAGGTAATTGCTACATATGAAGTCAATAAGTATGAAAGTCAACGTCTACCTGTCGACGCTGGTCAATGTGTATCTGTCGTTTCGCACGACCATGTGTACCCGTCGTTCCAACGGACACAGTAAGCGAAGTATGCCTTACGATTTTCGTATAAATGCGGTCATATAAGTGAAACTGATGGGTATGAAGGTGAATGTAAACCCGTCGTTTAATGAAGAATGTCCGGTTGACTCAGGTAAATGAATAAGTATGATGCACTACATTTGAGTCGATTCGCTTTTTGTAACTGCATCCACTCTAACATGATCACTAAGCTTGCTTTTGCCAACTTTAAACTGTATTATTAAAGCACTGAACCAATGTTTGGAAACTAATTGTAAAGCATGTGTCTCATCTAATATATCTAAGAAATGCTGTGTTTGATATTGCAATATGTAATGATGAATATGAACACGTATGTGTGCAATCGTTTTGTATATTATGTTATAGATAGAAGCACGACATATGGACACTCTGTTATGGAGATCTGCACATGTAATTATCAATACAAAAATGCATAGTCAGCCAATTGCAAAATGAGCCAAAAATGCATAATCAGCCAATCCAAAATTGAGCGAATAATGCAAAAGTAGCCAATCCGAATGCCGGAAAAGGATCAAACGGACAGACAGTATTTCTTTTATTATATAGACGAGGGTATCTACTCGTCGTTCCGACGGACATGGTTTTATGCTATTAATAATACGTATATAGGGGTGTTCCCGTCGTTTCGACCGATAGGTGCACAAATTTGACGCTAATCGTATATTGACTTTGGTGATTGATTAGTTCTAAGTGTAATGTGTATGAAGGTCAATGTATACCTGTCGTTTCGAAAGTTAGGGTGTTCACCCGTCGTTTCGACGAACATGGTCTGCCTTTTGACCTGTAAACCCATTAACTTACGTTCGATAATTCAATTGACTTAGGGTAAAGATGGATACGAAAATCAATGTGTACTCGACGTTTCGTCAATTTTTCATTTCATCACCCGTCGTTCTAACGGTACAAAGTTGCATATACAGGCATCTTAAACGCAGCGATTTGCTAGGGTGTTTACCTGTCATTTCCGCGAATTTAGTACGTGAAGTCTACGAAAATATTTTCTTTATTGAGTTTATATCACGTCGTTTCGATGGAACGCTGCGCGAAGTCGCCGCTGCTAGGATGTGTGCCTGTCGCTCCGACGGGAATGACGGCGAACTCTAAGCTAATAGCATAATGTACCATTTAGGGTGTTCAGCCGTCGTACCGACGGTGCAAAGTAGTATAGATAGGCATTAATTTACTTTAGAATATCGGGTCGGCTAAGGTATAGTGATGGAAATAAGATTAAATGTGTACCCGTCGTTCCGTGCATTTTCCATTTTTTTATACTGCATGATGGACGGAGGTATTATACAGATTTTGCTATACAAATTTCAGTCATGATACCCACTCCTATAGATGGATGTCCGACGAAATTTATTGCTAAACCTGATACATATTATTAGTTTAAATAATACTGATGGAAATCTGCTTACGTTAATGGAAAAAAGTAAGAGTGCTCACCCATCGTTGCGACGGAAAGGTCCGAGCGGACCAAAAATACAGAATAAATCAAATGAAAGGACCAAAAGTTGGTGAGTCAGTCAGCCTTTTTTCATGCTACTTTTAGCTTGTATGGAGCTTTTAGTACTATGGTCTAGTGCTTTAACCCGTCGTTTCGACGGTGCAAGAAAGTAATATATATACTGTAGGCATCTTTAAAACACGCAGCGATTTTCTAGGGTGTTCGCCCGTCGATTAACGGATTGGTGCGCGCGAACCGAATATATATACATATTTTTATGCATCAAGGACCGAATATAATTATCATTGTGTGTTTCACAGCTGTTTTGATGCTACTTTTAGCCTATGTGCAGTTTTTGTTAGCGTCCGTCGTTTCGACGGATAGGGGCGCAATCCTACGCTTCTAGTAGATTGGCCCACCATTTACCTAAAAATACGGATGCTCACTCGTCGTTCCGACAAACATGGTGAGCAAAAGTCTGCTAGAAAAAATCTTCGTACCCATCTTTTTAACTATATTCGGTTGTGATATGTAAATCATTAAGTATGAAAGTCAAAGTTTTTCTGTCGACACCGGCCAATGTGTATCTGTCATTTCGCAGTTCAATGTGTACCCGTCGTTCCAACGGACACAGTAAGCGAAGTCTGTCTTTTGATTTTCGTACCCATCTCTTTAATTCAATATATCCGGTTTAATAAGGTAAAGTGATGGGTATAAAGGTGGATGTAAACCCGTCGTTCCGTAATGTAGAATATCCGGTTGACTCAAGTTAATGAATAAGTATAATGCATTACATTCGAGTCGATTCGCTTACTGGAATTAAATCTACTTAACCTAATAACTACGCTTGCTTTTGCCAAGATGAAGTGTATTAGCTGAGCACGGAGCCCATGTTTATAAAAAACGAATCGAAAGCATGTGTCTTATCTACTATTCTAAAAAAACAGTGTTTGATATTGCAATATGTAATGATGCATATGAATATTTATGTGTGCCGTCGTTTTTTATATAAATTATGCAGCATGTAATGATGCATGTGAACATTAATGTGTTGCCATCGTTTAGTATATTCATTTTGTAGATAGAAGCACAACACCTGGACACTCTAATATGGATATCTGCACATGTCATTATTAACAAAAATGCAGAATAGGCCATTGCAAAATGAGCCAAAAATGCATAATTAGCCAATCCAAAATTAGCAAATAATGCAAAAGTAGCCAATCCGAATGCCCATCAAACGGACTGACCAGTATTATTTTATTATATAGACTAGGGTGTGTGCCCGTCGTTCCGACGGATACATGTATACTGGTGATTCACTTTGCTTAGAATATCAGGTCAAATTGGGTAAATTTATAGGTATTAAAGTCAATGTGTATTCAGGTCAATGTAACTCGTCGTTTCGCCGGGTACAAATTCACGAATATTTGGAACGCGCTAATATACAGTCATTTACATTTAGATAATGCCTGCACCCTAGCGAATCGATGGACGATTGCACCATGTTTCATCGACTCACCTCTTTTATGGTGTTCACTCGTCGTTCTGATGGTGCAAAGTAGAATATATTGGCATGTTAAACTGTTGAATTGATATATGTAGAAGAAGGCAAATTATGAAGTAAATATATTTGGTCCTTAGTTCACTACCTTGAGCTACATCTAAGCCTGTCCTTGTCAGATCTTTGTTACTGAAGTCACCTAGATATGTCCGTTAATAACGTCATGTCCTTTTAGGTATTGGCCTTTATCATATCCGTATCCTGAATCGTCAGGATACGAACATGATATCATATAACGCCATTCGCCTGTCCAACGTGCATTCAGCGGCGAAATATCAACACTCTCACTCACCGCTTATGCTGACTGCGCCTTGGTCCGATTCCACTTGATTGGAGCAAATACTTGAGTCGCTTCGTCCCTAGTGCCTTGGTCAACATGTCTGCCAGCTGGTCCACCGTTGACTTGTACTTGACCACAATAATGTCTTGAGCCACATTTTCTCGGATGAAGTGGTGACGGATGTCGACGTGCTTGGTCCTGGCATTGTATCCTGAGTTGCTTCCAAGCCCAATCGCACCTTGATTATCTTCATAGACCAAAGTCGCTCCCACTTGTTCATGACCGAAATCCTTGAGCATCGCGCGGACCCACAGTACTTCCTGGGTACAAAAGCTTAAAGCCATGTTCTCCGCCTCTGCCGAACTCAATGCCACAGTGCGCTGGTACTTGGACTTGAACACGACTGGTGCGCCACCAATCATCACCATTATGCCTGAAACCGAGCGTCGATCGTCGATGTTGCTTCCCCAGTCCGCGTCCGTGTATGCTGTTGCTTGAACCTCACTTGCGCTGCCGTCGTAGATTATGCCGTAGTCTCTTGTAGTCTTGAGATATCGTAGAACACGAATGGCAGCCTTCCAATGTTGTTGACCAGGATTTTCCAAAAAACGTGACAACTGTGTGGTTATATACGCCACATCAGGTCGCGTACATGTTGAGATGTGTAGCAGACATCCAATCAACGACCTGTACGGCTTCGACTGCATTTCTTCTCTTTCAGCGTCCGTCGCTTGTGATTGTATCTTTAATAGCTTCAATCCAGACTCGCATGGGTTGACAACTGTCTTGTATTCATCTTCGTTAAACCGGCAGACCACGTCATCGATATAGCGAGTCTGACGAATCATCAGCGTACTGCCGTTACGATCATGATCGATCTCCATACCTAGAATAAATTTGACCTCACCGAGCTCCTTCATCTTAAACGAATGTTTTAGTGTTGTCTTGACTTCCTGGATCTCTCTATTGGTCTTGGCAGCGATAATCATGTCGTCGACGTAAAGACACCATAGACGAAGCTGCCATTGTTGACCTTGACATAGACGCACTGATCTGCTCCACTGATTTTAAAACCAATTTTCAGGAACACAGCATGGATAGTCTTGCTCCATGCACTCGCAGCTTGTTTGAGTCCGTAGATTGCCTTGTCCAGCTTGCACATAATCTTTTCAGCATTTTTTATGCCATTAGGTACTTCCATGTACACCTCTTCTTTGAGATCACTGTTTAGAAACGCCGTGTCTGCATCCATCTGTTCGGTCACGTATCCCTTCGCCACCACCACAGCCAGCACGAGTCTGATCGAGTTCATGTTTGCTACGGGTGAGTACGTCTCAAAAAAATCGACACCGAACTTCTGCTTAAATCCTTTTGCGACAAGTCGGGCCTTGTACCGCACCACCTGTCCGTGCTCGTTGCGCTTTTTAGCGAATACCCACCTGCATCCGATTGTTCGGACGTTCTTTATCTTCGGGACAAGACTCCATGAACCATTCTCCGAATGAGCTTTAAGCTCAGCGCTCATAGCCTTCACCCATTTCTTGGCTTCGTCGCTGTCCATGGCTTGTTGATATGTCGTCGGTGCATCATTTGCATCACCAATACTTGCCGCATATGCTAGTACAGCTTCTGCAAGTAGGTTAACTTTATCAATACGAGGTCGTTTGGGTGACGGCGGATAGAAATGATCGTCATTGTCAGGATCATCGTCGCTATCCATTGTGTTCTCGTCAGCCATAATCAATCCATTCCCAAGAAGAAGTGATGGTTCTCTTGGACGTCGAGATCGTTCCCTTTCGGGCCTGAATACCATGTCACCGTTTGCTGTTGACTCATGTACCCGATGATATGTCGTTAATTCTCTTCCTGATGACATAGGCTCATGTTCATCTTCTTGCATCTCGACGTCTTCAAATGGGTCCGCTGTCGATTCCATTGGTTCATCCTCCACAGGAGATTCCTTCTCATTTTCAGGCTGAGCCACTTCGTCGATGTCCTCTATCACGTTAATGACTTCAGTCTTTTCTGTCATCGACGTTCTATAAATTCCATTCACCTCGCGTTCGTCGAGCTTTACTGATCTTGACATCTTGACTTTATTTAGCTCCAGATCATAGACGCGATAGCCCTTCGTATTGTCCCCATAGCCAAGGAACATACACTTATATTTTTTTGGCTCGAGCTTGGTGCGCTTAGCGTCGTCGACATGAGCATAACCAATTGATCCAAACACTCGCAAGTGGTCCAGTCGAGGCTTCATCTTAAATCCTATCGCGTATGGAGTCGCGTCAGTGTGTTTGCTGTTTGTTGTCCGGTTAATTAAGTACACTAACGTGCTAACTGCCTCTGCCCACCAGGAAGTAGATACACCCTTGTAGTGCATCATGCTCCGTGCCTTCTCCATAATCGTTCGGTTCATCCGCTCAGCCACTCCATTTTGTTGAGGGCTGTATGGCACAGTCTTTTGATGAACAATTCCGTTACGCTGACAAAATGTATCCATGGCCTTGTTTACAAACTCAGTGCCGTTGTCAGAGCGTAGACACTTGATGCGCTCTCCCCACTGATTCTCGTACATGGTCTTGAAAGACTCAAATCTTCTCGGCACTTCGCTCTTCTTCTTAAGGAAGTTTTCCACAACGTACTTCGAGTAGTCGTCAACGAAGTTAAGCACATACTTTGCGCCACCTATTGATCTCGTCTTCATCGGTCCCATTAAGTCCGTGTGCACAAGTTCCAGAACACGGGACGTCTTCGTCTGTGAATGAGATGGGAATTGTGTCACCGTTTGCTTGCCTTTCAAGCATCCACTAGATAGCGCCTTCGTCTTGAAATTGGTAATTGGAATACCAGTCGTCACACGCTGCGTCTTTTCCAGCGCGTCCTTGTTCAAGTGACCCATACGAGCGTGCCAAAGATCATAATTGCTATCGACGTCCGAATATTCCACGTATCGCGCCGTTTCCTGCTGACATTCTAGTATGTAGGCCTTGCCGACCTTTTTCCCCGAGGCGGTGGCTTGGTTTATGTTCCAAATGATACATGATGTGCGCTCGAACTCAACATTGAGTCCGCGTTCTGCAAGCTTGCCTACCGATAGTAGTCGTCGATCCAGGCCAGGGATGAGGAGAACGTCTAACATCCGAATGCGCTTGCCGTTAATGCCCGTTAAGCGCACCGACCCGGTTCCTACCACACGGATCTTCTTTCCATCCGCGATGGTCACCTCAATGCTTGTCACTAGGTTTTTGTAGTCGAACAAGTCTTCTCGGTGCGGCGTCATGTGTGCCGTTGCACCACTGTCGATCAGTCACCCTGATGACCGACTCTCCCCGGCAGCTTATACAGCGTCCTCTTCATTTTTGCCAGGCCCCTTAATGTCCGGGCATTCCCGCTTCATGTGACCGAACTTGTCACAGTTGAAGCATTTGCCTTTGAACCCACTTCGTTTCTTCGAGACGTTGTCCTTGCGTCCATTGTTCCTTCCGCCCTTGTCGAACCTTGCGTTCTTCGAATTGATCCCATGTGTCGTAGCCTTTAGCGCACTTTCCGTGGCCCTTTTCTTGTCCTGTCGCTCATACTCCTTAAGAAGCTTCTCCTTTACCTCAATGATAGTGACGTCCTTGGACATCTCCACGATCGACGCGATTATCTCGTACTCTGCAGGCAGACTGCTGAGCAAAACCACGATCTGTCGCGCTTCGTCAATTAGCTCTCCCAAAGACTGGAGACCAACAATGAGTTCATCGAACTTGTCCAGATGCTGGGTCATCGTCACGACGTCGTCCATCTTAAAATCATGAAGATGGCGGGTCATCGTCACCCGATTGTGCATGGTCGTGCGATTGTAGAACTCACGCAAGTAATCCATGCCTGGATAGCCGTCGTTGCCGACCGAATCTTGGTGAAATACTCCACCGCAATGCCTTGAGCAATCAATCCCAGTGACTTCATGTCGTTTATCACCCACGCTTCAGTCATCTCAGCTTCGGGCTTGACCATCTGGATTTGTGCTAGCAGTCCCTTTCTCGCCAGCGTCATTCGCATGACAAACTCCCAGTGGAATTAATTGTCGCTCCCAAGGATGACTTCAGCCCTTTTCACAGACATGGGAGCGACGAAGATGTTCTTGATTGTCTTACGGCTGTTAACCTGTTGAATTGATATATGTAGAAGAAGGCAAATTATGAAGTAAATATATTTGGTCCTTAGTTCACTACCTTGAGCTACATCTAAGCCTGTCCTCGTCAGATCTTTGTTACTGACGTCATCTAAATATGTCCGTTAATAACGTCATGTCATTTTAGGTATTGGCCTTTATCATATCCGTATCCTGAATCGTCAGGATACGAACATGATATCATATAACGCCATTCGCCTGTCCAACATGCATTCAGCGGCGAAATATCAACACTGGTGGCATCGCCATCAAAATTGGAGATAGGGATGGTAAACGTACACTTGCCTTGTGGAATAGGCTAGCATCAATACACTTTCAGAAATACGTCAACGCTTCTATACTCATCACTTCTCCGATCGCACTTGTCGCCTTCTTACATAGTCTGCGTTATATTGAATGAGCGTTCGTTCATTTTGTATACAAAGACGACGGTTGTTTGTGAGCGCTGCATGTCACGCATTACAGGACCACCTTCACCTCTGCATACAAATTATCCTCCAGTCTGATTTAAACTCTCGTTTCGTCGTGTTCTTGCAGCTCACATCGATCGCAAGCCCAATGTGCAAGCTCATTGGAATTCGTTGGATATACCTATGAGGTACATGTACCCATGTTCATTCCCTTGTAGAACTTGAAGAAAAGAGGAGGGCCATGAATACCAAAGTAAAGATTTGGCGCACACCATGAGCCTTAATAGCGCTGCGATTACTCAGCACGTTAAATAGCACTAATCTACATACTGGTTTGGGAAAACGCGTATGCTGGAAGTTGACGGGCAAATTTGTGACAGAATGAAGTTGGACCGAGAAGAGTACTTCTCAATGGAAGCGAAGGTGAAGTAAATGACAATACCAACAAACTTTCGTCTTTACGGAATTTGAGGAGTATTGTTCTCCTTACTACATGATAGAAGCGCCATTTATGCGCCCCTTCATGTTTTTGCTATTCGGGTCGGAATACACGCTAACACGTTCCTACAAACGCCAGAATAACGTCATCTTAAGGTACAAACGCCTCTCAACAAGCAATGGCGACAGCAGTGGGGGCGGAAGGCTTGTTCACAAAGATGGTCGTATTGTCTCAGCTCACGTATACTGAGTTTGCACTTCTGCGTAACTTTATTTTCGCGACGGAGGCACGATGAAGCATGATTCCCTACTCGATTTGAGAGCTCGTGACGCATTGCATCAATCGATCTAGTGTCACTCATCTCGACGCCAAATCCGACGACTTTACCAGAAAAAATTTGCAGAAATGAAACCCTCTACAGAATATAGTCGACTCTTATCAAGTGTTTGGAGGCATCGACTACACTCACAACCCGATTTGCCTCCAAGACAGCAAGTCAAGTACCTATCTACTTCGCCAACTAGCTCAAGCTGACACTACGACGATGAAATTCACTATCTTCCTCTTCGCTGCTATCGCGGTTCTAGGTGTCGTCACGGGTACCGACCAACCTGCCGTGAAAACAGCCGCCGAAGCTCTCGAGAAGATTCAGGCGTCCACATTACCTGACGGCGTCACGCTAACCGGGATGTCGGAGAAGATCGACCCACCTGCTTCAGCCACTGCAGTTGCTGTGAAGGAGTCAAAAGTCAATGACGGCAAGAACAAAGAAGATGACGAGAAAAAGGAGCAATTCGGCTGGGGCCTCGGCGGCTGGGGAGGATGGGGCGGCTGGGGCGGCTGGGGCGGCTATGGACCCTATCGCTTCGGCTTCATGTACGGCGGCCTCCCTGGCTGGGCTTACCCGCTGGGCTACTGGAATAGATTTGGTGTTGGTTTGTACGGTGGCGGATGCGGTCTGGGTCTGCCCTTCGGTGGTCTCTATTACTGCTAAGTTGACACGACAGTTTTGCAATTCATAGCTATTGCTGCCGTTCGGTGGCGCGACGCTGGCACTTTTAAATAAATGATTCTTTGTCACGCTTTCATTGCAATGAGCTGCTAGCTTTGTTTGGAAACAACCACTCAAATAATTACCTTCCATGCTCATCCTATGATGGCCAAATGTAGTTCCGCAATCCAATAATATGCTTGTTTAACCGACAGTTTAGTAACTTTCACTGACTCCTTTCGCCATGAGTCCAAATTCAAGTATACCAATAAGCTTGCACATTGGGCTCGCGATCGATGTGAGCTGCAAGAACATGACGAAAAGAGAGTTTAAATCGGACTGGAAAGACAATTTGTATGCAGAGGTGAAGGTGGTCTTGCAATGCGTGACGTGCAGCGCTCACAAACAACCGTCGTCTCTGTATACAAGATGAATGGTCTGATCATTCAAAAAACCGCAGATTATGCAAGAAGGCGGCAAGTACGATCGGAGAAGTGATGAGTATAGAAGCGTTGACGCATTTCTGAAAGTGTATTGATGTTAGCTTCTTCCACAAGGCAAGTGTACGTTTACCATCCCTATCTCCAATTCTGATGGCGATGCCACCAGTGAAAGCCGTTAATGAACGGTGGAGTCGTACTGTATTTGCCGTAAACTAAACTTGAAGGAGCAGATAGCAACAGCATTATTTGAAACGCTAATTTGCGTCGCTACGGAGCCTAAAGCAGCGTCAAACTTCAGGGCTGGTGAAAATTTCAAGTAGCTCGCAAACCAAGCTCACAATCGCTCCCAGATGGTTCCGGCCATAGTAGTATTGTGTTTTGGAGAAGCGGGTAGCTGTCGATATTTTGGCGCCAAGTCATTCGTTGCATATACCTATGAGGTACATGTACCATGTTCATTCCCTTGTAGAACTTGAAGAAAACAGGAGGGCCATGAATACCAAAGTAAAGATTTGGCGCACACCATGAGCCTTAATAGCGCTGCGAGTACTCAGCACGTTAAATAGCACCTAATCTACATACTGGTTTGGGAAAACGCGTATGCTGGAAGTTGACAGGCAAATTTGTGACAGAATGAAGTTGGACCGAGAAGAGTACTTCTCAATGGAAGCGAAGGTGAAGTAAATGACAATACCAACATACTTTCGTCTTTACGGAATTTGAGGAGTATTGTTCTCCTTGCTACATGATAGAAGCGCATTGCTACATGATAGAAGCGCCATTTGTGCGCCCCTTCATGTTTTTGCTATTCGGGTCGGAATACACACTAACACGTTCCTACAAACGCCAGAATAACGTCATCTCAAGGTACAAACGCCTCTCGACAAGCAATGGCGACAGCAGTGGGGGCGGAAGGCTTGTTTACAAAGATGGTCGTATTGTCTCAGCTCACGTATACTGAGTTTGCACTTCTGCGTAACTTTATTTTCGCGACGGAGGCACGATGAAGCATGATTCCCTACTCGATTTGAGAGCTCGTGACGCATTGCATCAATCGATCTAGTGTCACTCATCTCGACGCCAAATCCGACGACTTTACCAGAAAAAATTTGCAGAAATGAAACCCTCTACAGAATATAGTCGACTCTTATCAAGTGTTTGGAGGCATCGACTACACTCACAACCCGATTTGCCTCCAAGACAGCAAGTCAAGTACCTATCTACTTCGCCAACTAGCTCAAGCTGACACTACGACGATGAAATTCACTATCTTCCTCTTCGCTGCTATCGCGGTTCTAGGTGTCGTCACGGGTACCGACCAACCTGCCGTGAAAACAGCCGCCGAAGCTCTCGAGAAGATTCAGGCGTCCACATTACCTGACGGCGTCACGCTAACCGGGATGTCGGAGAAGATCGACCCACCTGCTTCAGCCACTGCAGTTGCTGTGAAGGAGTCAAAAGTCAATGACGGCAAGAACAAAGAAGATGACGAGAAAAAGGAGCAATTCGGCTGGGGCCTCGGCGGCTGGGGAGGATGGGGCGGCTGGGGCGGCTGGGGCGGCTATGGACCCTATCGCTTCGGCTTCATGTACGGCGGCCTCCCTGGCTGGGCTTACCCGCTGGGCTACTGGAATAGATTTGGTGTTGGTCTGTACGGTGGCGGATGCGGTCTGGGTCTGCCCTTCGGTGGTCTCTATTACTGCTAAGTTGACACGACAGTTTTGCAATTCATAGCTATTGCTGCCGTTCGGTGGCGCGACGCTGGCACTTTTAAATAAATGATTCTTTGTCACGCTTTCATTGCAATGAGCTGCTAGCTTTGTTTGGAAACAACCACTCAAATAATTACTGTCCATGCTGCTCAGGATCACAGTAACATCATCCTATATGGCCAAATGTAGTTCCGCAATCCAATAATATGCTTGTTTAACCGACAGTTTAGTAACTTTCACTGACTCCTTTCGCCATGAGTCCAAATTCAAGTATACCAATAAGCTTGCACATTGGGCTCGCGATCGATGTGAGCTGCAAGAACATGACGAAAAGAGAGTTTAAATCGGACTGGAAAGACAATTTGTATGCAGAGGTGAAGGTGGTCTTGCAATGCGTGACGTGCAGCGCTCACAAACAACCGTCGTCTCTGTATACAAGATGAATGGTCTGATCATTCAAAATAACCGCAGATTATGTAAGAAGGCGACAAGTGCGATCGGAGAAGTGATGAGCACAGCGGCGTTGACGCATTTCTGAAAGTGTATTGATGTTAGCTTCTTCCACAAGGCAAGTGTACGTTTACCATCCCTATCTCCAATTCTGATGGCGATGCCACCAGTGAAAGCCGTAATGAACGGTGGAGTCGTACTGTAATTGCCGTAAACTAAACTTGAAGGAGAAGATAGCAACAGCATTATTTGAAATGCTCATTTGCATCGCTACGGAGCCTAAAGCAGCGTCAAACTTCAGGGCTGGTGAAAATTTCAAGTAGCTCGCAAACCAAGCTCGCAATCGCTGCCAGATGGTTCCGGCCAAAGTAGTATTGTGTTTTGGAGAAGCGGGTAGCTGTCGATATTTTGGCGCCAAGTCATTCGTTGCATATACCTATGAGGTACATGTACACATGTTCATTCCCTTGTAGAACTTGAAGAAA